GTTGGTCAGAGTGTCGTCTGATTTGCCAAAATTGTGGGTTTGATCCCCAGTTAGGGTACATACAAGAATTGACCAATGAAAGCATATACAAGTGGAACAAAAAATCAATGTTTTTCTCTCTCTTCTTCTCTGTCTCTATAATCAATCAATAAAATAATAATAAAAAAACAACACATCACACATACACACACAAAACTGGGAAAAGAGCCCGTGTGGCTCAGCTGGTTAGAGTATCATTCTGATATGCCAAGGTTGTCGGTTCAATCTCTGGTCATTGCACATATAATAAGCAACCAATGAATGCATAAATAAAGTGGAACAACAAATCAATGTTTTTAAAAAAATGAGGAAGGTTAAGACTAAAAAAAAAAGTTGACAAAAAATGGCATTTCTCCTTATCCACTCCACCACCACTCATACCTCCCACCCCGTAAACGATTCACTTCTGAGATCTTCCACAAAGATTACAAAGAGAAAAAGACTGAAGACAATTTTATATTTACTAATGGAATTGAACAATTGGTCTTTGTAAATCCCATTAAACACACAACACACTAAGGACTCCAAATCCTATTTTATGTGTCTTCTCTGGGTCATTGCACTTGAAATAGTAAGCGCTCTTCCTCCCTCCATAAATAGGCATCCACAGTAAGAACAATAGCGATGCCTAGCCTTTGTTGGTTGAAATAATAGCATGTCAAGGGCCTTATCTTTTACTTGGGAATAAAGCACAAAAGAATAATTTAAATATCCAATTTGACAAAAGAGATCTACACCCCACCACATTTTATTTTCTGTCTCTGTGGTATCATTCAATCTAGCAGAGCTAGAGAATTTGGTACGAAGAGGGCAGAATGTTGGCTTAGTGGTGCCGCAGGGTCTGGGATCCCTGGGCAGCCAGATGGGAAGACCTCACAGCCATGGGAGGGGCTGTGAAACCCTGGGCACAGAGGCAGAAGGGTAAAGTGAAGGTAGGAAGTTGTGGAAGTTCCTATCTGATTGCCTTTATTTCCTTACGATTTGGAGAAGCAAAGTCAAGAGCTGAAAATGGGGAAGGGGATTTGAGGATAAGGCATGGAAGAATCATTTGGGAGGGTGGGAGAGAGCATGGAGTCTGAGCTGCTAGAGGTTCATGGTCACGATTTCACAGTGACCAGTTGGTGTGGCTATGTTTTTCTTCAGTGCCTTTAAGTTCTCAGGATGCAAGTGCAGAGCAGGCAGAGACTTGGTTTGAACTGAAAATGTGTGGGTTAGCCAAGTGAGTATGACAAGGTGAGAAGAGGCCAGGGGGTTGGGGAGAGGGAGTGATGATAACAATGGACCAGGGAATCTGAGCTTCTGGTCTCTGTTTCTTCCTCTGTCCCCAGTGCCATATACTCTTTTGGAGAGAAGGGTGCTTGAAAGTGAGATTTCGGAGAGAATTCCCTCCTCTTCCCTTCTTGGGCTCTTATGGCTGGACTGATAATATGGACACATGGCCAGGTTAACAGAAGAATGAACAGTTGAGTGTGTGCACACGGAGATGATACTCCTTGAAGTGATGAATCAGCCAACTTTTTATGCGTTTTAGACAAAGATAAAATACATTTCTGAAGAACTGACAGGATACTTGGACTTGGGGTGCCCATGAGTAGGAATCTACACAAAGTTAGGGCTTGGGTAGTATATTAGTAACAAGGCTTATTTATGCCGACTTTTTGAGCCTGGATCCTTCACTCGGGTGAGAAGGGTGTCTGTCTCAGCCTCCAGGGGCAGGGAAGGCACCTTTCACGTAGTAGATTTACCTCCTGCTTTCAGGGTGACAGATGGTGAGAGGTCAGATGGCAGTTTGCACTGGCAGTTTTTAAAGTAACTCGAATTCACAGTAACCAGTATGTCATGGGTGGGGGGTGGGGGTATATCTTGGGACAGCCTGCCCTGGGTCTCCATAGCAATGACAAGGTCTAGGTCTGGGGTGAGGCCATGGGAGTGACTGGTGAAGTGGGATGGAGAACAAGCTCATTGGAGGCAGGAAAATCAAGGAGCTGAGGGAACAGGACATTGGAAGGGTCAAATGTAATATTCTGGATGTTGCTGACTGCATCCACTTGGCATCATTTAACATGCTCTGTTTTTTGTATTTTCTATAAATTGGTAGTGATAGAGACTTGTTCAGATTAAGGTTTGATTTTTTTTTTTTGGGGGGTGGGAGGAGAGGTAACATCATAGGTGTTCCTTTTAAATTTTGAATCATGTGACTATATTGACTATTTAAAATAAATGAACATAAAAATTTTAACCCCTTCCTCTCCAAAAGAGTAGAACTTGAAATCACCAATAATGAAGACAGAACTGCAATTAGAGAGAGGGACAGTGAGCCAGGAGATAAATATCCCAGAAGTGAAGTGTGGGAGGCTGGGAGTAGGACTGTAAGGGGAGGGATGGTGGGTGGTGTAATCTGGTAGCATGAAGATTAAAAATGGCTGGCGTTTTATAGGGGAAGGAAGGAGAATGTTCTGGAAGAGAGGAAGAAGGATACTACCCTATTTCAAGGCGTAGTGGATGGGAGAGTGTACAGTCTTTACCTGATAGATCTTCAGGGAAAGTCTCATTCTCAGGACAGAGCCAGGATTCTGTTAAAAAGGCTGGGCAAGAGGGAGTGATGATAGCAATGAGCCAGGGAATCTGAGCTTCAGGTTAAGGGTATAGGGCAGGCCCTATACTATAGGGAGTGAAAAATAGAAACAATACAATGGAACAGGATACAGGTGCCACTGTGACTGCTCAGAGGAAGGCTCTGGGGAGGATTATGGATAGCAGGTGATACTCAATTTGAGTCTAAAGGTGAGTAGAAAGAAGTTCTCCAAGCAGACAAGGAGGGAGGAAGGAGAAGGAGAACTTGGACAAAGGCATGGTGATGGTTGGATTTGGGGAACTGAAAGTAGATGGGTGAGAACAGAGGAGGAAGAATGAGGGGCTGGAGAGTCCAAGGCAGGGGCCCCATCATCAAGGAACTGGAATGCCACATTGTGGTTTGGACTTTTCTTTGAAGTGATTATGAGCCACAAAGGGGTACAGGCAGGACAGTGGCTGGATTTTAAGAAAAGTATTGAACTCATTAAAACAACCATTCTGTGATTTGCATTTGTTCATTTATGTATGTGTCTGTGAATGCAGATATTTAACTATCTCTCTCCCTTCCTCTCTGTAAAAAATCAATAAAATATATATATATATATATTTTAAAAAAGCTTATTCCAGCTGTTCCAGCCCAGATTGTTGGCATCTGGACTCAACAAAGTAAGGTTTAAGGCAGAGACAGAGCACTAAGAGGCTACAGCCCTCTAGTGATTAGGAGTCTTCAGGCATATAGAGACATAAACTGGATTCCCAGGTTGTCACTTACCAGTTTATGGCCTAGGACAAATTACTTCATTTCTGACTCTCCTTATCAGCAACATGGGAATAGAAATCCCTACTGGAAAGATTCCTATGTGAATTAAATGGGATCATGCAGTAATTTACTCAGCAAAGTGAGTGTTTTATGGTAAGTGTTCAATAAATATTAGCTGTTATTTTCAAGGCCTATGAACTTCAAACCTATATATGTTTGCCTACTTAGTTCCTCTCTGGTTTGGCTGCACATTGGAATCAGCTGGTCCCAGTTTTCAAAAACACTCATACCCTGGTCCCGCCCCCAGGGATTTGGTCAGAGGTACGGCCTGGGTGTTTTCATAAACCCCAACGCGATTCTTTTTCTTTAAAATATATTTTATTGATTTTTTACAGAGAGGAAGGGAGAGAGATAGAGAGTTAGAAACATCGATGAGAGAAACATTGATCAGCTGCCTCCTGCACACTCCCACTGGAGATGTGCCCGCAACCAAGGTACATGCCCTTGATGGGAATCGAACCTGGGACCTTTCAGCCCACAGGCCGATGCTCTATCCACTGAGCCAAACCGGTTACAGACCAAGGTTATTCTAATGTGCAATGAAGGTTGATTGTTATCAGTTCTCCAAGTGCTAGCCGTGGGCAAACTACGGCCCGCAGGCTGGATCCGGCCCGCTTGAAATGAATAAAACTATTGAAAAAAAAGACTGTACCCTTTTATGTAATGATGTTTACTTTGAATTTATATTAGTTCACACAAACACTCCATCCATGCTTTTGTTCCGGCCCTCTGGTCCAGTTTAAGAACCCATTGTGGCCCTCGAGTCAAAAAGTTTGCCCATCCCTGTCTAGACCCTGAACCAGGAACATTAGCATCACCTGGGAATTAGTTAAAAAGGCAAAATTTCCCTGATCCACTGAATCAGAAACTCGGGGTGAGTCAGCAATCTGTGTTTTAACAAGCTCCCCTGGTGATTCTAATGAACACTCAAGTTTCACAGGTACTGACCTAGGTGTAGCAATTCAAGGCGGTCATTTCAGATGCCGGAGTCTCCCATCTGAACCAATAGATATCCCAGATCCTCCCCACCCATCTCATCCACGTGCCCCAGCGGCCTCTCTCTCTCTCTCTCTCTCTCTCTGCCTTCAGGGGAGAATGGTTAGATTTAGAGTTGAGATTTCTTGTTCTTTGGATTACTTAATTTTATATATGTTCTTTTTCTTTTTTAAGGTACTTTTCCATTCTCCCAACAAAATATAGGTGCCAGATACTGCTTATTTAGAGCTGAGTAAGAAAGACACAGCTTCTAATCCAGCTGTGGGCAAGCTATGGCCCGCGGGCTGGATCCGGCCCGCTTGAAATGAATAAAACTATTGAAAAAAAAGACTGTACCCTTTTATGTAATGATGTTTACTTTGAATTTATATTAGTTCACACAAACACTCCATCCATGCTTTTGTTCCGGCCCTCTGGTCCAGTTTAAGAACCCATTGTGGCCCTCAAGTCAAAAAGTTTGCCCACCCCTGTAATCTAATCCCACGGAATGCTCAGTGTGATATTGTGATTTATAATAACCACAGGGTGTCCCCCCAAAATGTACACACAATTTAACAGCTGATAGCTCAATTAATGTTTCATTCTTTTCAGATTTAACCCAGTGGAATTAATAATTGTTCAAAGTGTGTGTATATTTTTGGAGGACACCCTGTACATGTTTGGTTTTCGTCCGCATTTCTGGCACACAGCTCCTAAAACCCTTACCTTTCCTGTGATGAAAACAATCAAGGTGTTTTTGTTATGTAAATGAGCGACCTTTGGAAAGCACCTAAGGCCAGGGGCTGATTGGCAGGAGAAACCACCTGGATTAGAGGCTGGAATTTTCAGGCCCACCCCCTCCCTGACCTCCGTGGAGGAGAAGGTGGGAGAGATTGAGCTCCTTCACCAATGGGCCAGTGACTTCGTCCTTCACGCCTGTTGCGAAGCTGGTTTCAGAGAGCTACAGGGTCAGTGATCACGTGGACGTTCGGGGACTGTTAGGTGCCCAGAGAGCATGGACACTGCACCCCTGCCACCTGGCTGTTCCTGACCTCTAGCCTTTCCTAACCAACCCGTGACCTAGTAAGTGAAATGTTTCTTTGAGTTTTGTGAGCTGCCCTAGCAAATTAACTGAGTTTAAGGAGGAGGTTGTTAGAACCTCTAATCTTAGCTGGACAGTCAGAAAACCTGGGCTTGCACCTGGCATCTGAAGTGGGGACACGGGGTGGGCCCTGATGTGGGACTGAGCCCTTAGCCTGTGGAATCCGATGCTACCTCTGGGTGCATAGTGACAAACTGAGTTGAACTGTACAATGCCAGGCCGGCATGGAAGTGCTTGATGTGGGACAGAACCCCCCCTCCTCCCCTCTTCCCCAACATTGGAACTGCAGTCAAGAATTTTACCAGTGTTAAAGGAAAGAAAGCAGCTCACTGGGCCTGTCCTGAGCAGACATGTGAGGGTGACTTTTTGGTGACCCTCCTTTTGCCCGGTTCACATCCTCCTCTTCCTGTCATCTGATTTGCTCTGCTCATGTGAAAACCTGCTCTCAGGTTTGGATCTGACCTCAATCATTTGTAATTTAGTCTGCGTGTCAGTCATGAGTGCTGACCAGACTGTATGCACCTGAGGAAAGGGACCGTGTCTCTATTTCTTTGTATCCACATGCTTCTCCCAGTTTAGATTCC